ATAGTACAGTACTTCAGTTTTACCATTATACTGTTTATACTGACATACTGTTTATACACAAGCTAAATTTAAATATTTAGGAGTATCATTTGATATGTCATATTTTAAAATCATAAGGCTATACAGATTATAAACCTAACATCGCTGTGTTAATGAAGGTTAATGAAGTAAATATTGCTTATCACTCGTTTAGTTCAGTGTGCATAGGCACATGCTTATATGGCCCATAAATTTTTTAGATAAAATAGAAAAGATCTAACTTAAAACTGGGTAAAAGTTTTCAGGTTAGGCCATTCATCTCGAGTTTGGGGATTTCAAATAAAGCTGGAAACTTTTCTTATTCTGTAACATAGTGGCTCGTTATTCTATGGGCAAAAAGGGCAATTACCTGAGATCCACACGGACCCAAACCAATCTTTTATAAGAAAATATTTCCACCGCCTGAAAAATGCTTGAAGTCAACACTATTGTACACGAAGCCCTGTAATTTCAAATTCGCCTGGGCCCCACGAAGCCATATAATGCACCACAGCCGTAACACACAATCTTCAGAATATCATCTACTACAGACGGGGTGGATCTAGGTTTTTCGGGGCCTAGGGCTTATTGAAGTCCAATGGGGCCCCATTTTTTGTTAGATTAAGAATCTTTAAATTGGGGTAAAATTAAACGAATAATACTATAAATGATTATTATTATATTATTAATATTAATTATTTTTTACTATACGATAAGTGCTCACTGTTAATGAATGAGTATTAAAAATTTATTATAACAATTCAATTATTGTGGGCCCTTGACACTTGGGAACCCAGGGCTTAAGCTCTATTAGTCACTATGTAGTTCCTCCCCTGACTACAGAAATTATATGTTGAAACTAACCTTTAAAAAAACAAACAAATTGGTTTAAGGGGTTAAGGGTTATTTATTAAGGGTTTAATTTTTCTTTGTTAATGGACGAAGCAGATTCCTGCTGTTTTTATTGGCCATTAATTATTAAATGTTGGAAAGATTACTCGATCCAGCAAGACCAATAGGGGCATCGCACTCGCAATTTCATTTTTGGTATGTCCCGGGCTGTTCCCTCTGCTGACCCCATATTGAGAGTTTACATGGTTATTTATTTTGTTATAATTTGTTCTACAAATACAATTAAATAAATTTTATTTGCGATTTCAAGACCGAATAATTACGTTACGTACAAGTCCTTGTTTGTTTTCAGGCGAAAAACAAAATACAATTGTTGACACCCTTTTATACTGTACGGAATGTGATAAAATGAAGGTGTAAATATTTGTCCACGACTTCGAATAATTATATAATTGTCTAAATATTCAATTACAAATACTTAAATTTAATTAAAATTATCATTTATTAATTGCAGTAGTTACTTGTTGCCTAGAAGCACCAAAACATTAACACAGCATTAAATCTTAGCAATTATATTCTGAATTTTAAATAAATTCATAATTATTAGATTTAATATTTAAAATAAACCATTATAATTGTATAATGTATAATTTACAAAATAAATTGAATTTTAAGCAATTTACACACAAGTATTTATTACATAGAGTGCTTATGACGTATTGCTTCTATGGCAAGTAATTAAATAAAGGTCAATTTTGAGAATTTATATTGAATTTATTTATCAATTTTTGGAAGCTTCTTAATGAAGTTTTTATTTAAAAAAATCTTGTTATTAACAGTATAATTGTATACTATTTTTAAAATATTAAACATTTCTAGAAAAACTTACTCGCTTTTTTACTTTGTTAGGTAAAAATGGATAAAGTATTGAATACAAAAGTCTGAAAATCTTGTTACTGTTGTCTACGTAAATTCCATTGTAGCGGATAGGAATGCATTTCTAAAAAATAAAACAAAGGAATTGTTTAATATTTGTCAAAATATATATTCCAGATCAATAAGTCATATTTATTTGATTCATAAACACTGGTAGTGTAATAAATGCAAAGGTTTGGCGTTCTATCATCTTTATTTCCCTCAGTTGATAAATCTATTATCACGGATAGAACGCCAAGTATTTGAATTTATTATACTGAATAGTATTTAAGAATCAAAGAAGAATCACAACGCGGTTTCAGATTATCAAAGTCATATTTATGTTAACAGTTTTTCATTAATAAGTATCAGTATCACAGCAATCTTGTGTATAATACATTGCTTAAAGTAAGTAATAAATACCATTCCAATTATTGTTTATATTACAAGATGTTTCAAATTTAAATACAGTTGCCTCGTTATTTTAGTTTTAAAGTAACGAGGCAACTGTATTTCAATTCGAAGCATCACATATTCGAATTACAAAAATTCATTGATTATATTCGGCAATATTATAAAGAATAGCGTAAGGTTAACCAATATTTTCTAGTGAATCTATTTAAGCAAAAAGTCACGTTTCAATTTCTAATTTTGAACTACTAAATTATGAAGCGATCGGATTAAATTAAATTGAAGAAATACGGCAACGCCAAGGAAATTCGTCACCTGAGGAAAGTTTATATAAAAAACTAATCTCGATATACGTGTTACATAAAAGATGAAAAATCAATAAACGTGGCCGAGCCGTTTAACAAACGAGAATCCATGTCCTGCTTTAGTATTTAATGGTTTTATTCATGGAAGAAATGAAGTATGTAAAAAATAGATTAGTTCAACTTTTATTACATATTTGTTTAGAAATTAAAATTAAAAGTTAATTCCGAAATATCTTGTTAAGCTTTTGAAACAATGAAAAATGTAGAAAGAACAGCGAAAACTTAAAATTTACATGTTTAGCCACCTTCTTTTCCACATTAAATTGTCATAAAATGTATATTGTTCTATCTGCATTTAGTACTAAATGATATTTTATCAATATTCGGATTTGCGTAACATTTTAATGTTGATTTAAAAATTGCATATTATGTTTCCGTACTTTAAATAGATTTATACTATGTAAAATTAATTATATTTTTAAATTGATATGAAAAATAATGAAATGAGACCGTTGTCATAAGTGAGATTCTTCTGTTTATTTGACGCTGTCTGACTCAGTTGAAAGGCATTAAACTTTTTATACCCTTCATTTCAGAACATACAAAAGAAAAATTCGTGAAAGAAGGTTTAGTTCCGAACTAACTATTATGATACTTTTGGTACTAGGAATAGGTGAGAAACACCTAATAAATGTAAAATACAATTGATGCAGAAATAAGTAGATGTTACGTTCAAAGCATTTAATTTTTAATATTTATAGGAAGTGCGTAAGGTAACGTTAAGCCGCGATTATGGTGTAAAAAATAAAAACAGTTATAATTTGCAATACTTTATAGAACATTTATTGCTACATCGAATACAGTAATAAAAGTGCTGATTTTTTGTAATAATCGTACCATTGCAGCGAGCAAATATTTTAAGAGCAAGAACTGTGAAGCTGAAAATTGCGAACGAAAGGCACATGCCAAATGTTATTAGTCATTTATTTTAAAATAATGAAATATAATATGAATTTCCTCAGTCACATTTTCGATCGACGTGAAATTCAATAACTTTACTGAAAATGAATTTTCTTTTGCTGATACCAATTCGACAGTGTTAGTTTGATTGGTACAAATTAAATTTCGACCATTTGTTACTCGGAAAGTCGACTTTTTATACGGACAATTTTTTGTGGTATGGGTGATATACCACGATCGGATACGTCCCGTGAGGACTTTTTACAGGGAATTCTTTAAAACAGTGGTTCTCAACCGGGGGTACATGTACCCCTAGGGGTACTAGCGTAAATCGAAGGGGTACATCTAACTTTCGTTATAAAATGGCGTATGTTAATCAATTTGCTGTAAATTATTAACACAAGAAACGACAAAAACTCGCTTTAAAATATCCCACTGTGAACACCGATTTCCCTTTTAACAGTCTATACAACTTGTTTATCCACTCGATTTGCCTGTCTATTTGTGCCATTAGTGCTGAGTGAACCTGTAGTCTAGTAAAATTACGGTTTAACCGATCATTAATTTAAAAATGGAAAACATTTTTTTTCTATTCTATAATTATTTCTTAATAAGATTTTTACTGGACTACTGGTATTAGGAATAACGAGGTCTGGATCGTATCCCCACTATGCAATGCGTGTCACTGAATGCTCGCATTACTTGATATTTAGCAAATTTATACGTTACGTTTGTTACAAAAATTGAAAGATTCATGTATTGTTCTGCACGTTATAAATTCGCAGCCATTACTTTCAAGATCAGTACACAATTATAATCTCTATTTAACAACGTGGGAACCAAATTTTCAAAAAATTGTTGAAGATTTATCGCAACAAATATCCCAGTAAATTTTGTTAGAAATTATTATAGAATAATTTAAATTTTCTTTAATTATAATTATTTATTTTCAGGAAATGTAATTTATGCATGTATTGAAATGACTTCTGTGATTTTATATAATATACTTATCAAATAATAATAAANAAATGTAGATTTATAGATGTATAATACTCAACGGTAAAGACACGCAATGATTATATGATATAATAATGTAATATTCTATGATGAACAATGTGAAATAGACTGTGAAATAATTTAATAGTAAAATACACTGATGTGAATTATAATTCATCAAAAGACATTTTATTATATAAAAAATTGTTTGTAAATGTCCATACTACCACGTTTATTTTAACCGTTTTCTCTCTTGTAAATATGATTTCGGAATGTTTGAAGACATGATGTAAATCGTGACGGAACGTGACATGATGTAAATCGTAAAATGTTAACATCTGTTTTAATTATAACAATATTAACTGTTTTTCGAAAATGTGAGAATTTATACTAATAAGTTTAGTTTAGTTTGACTTGTCCACAATTTAATTAATTCAAACACTAATATAGAAAATATCAAATTTATGTATATTGTAGAAAGCGATAGATAATGTAAAAGACAATTACTGTAATTATATTTAATTGTACTATAATATTTATTTAATCGAGAATTGTTTGTGAACGTCTCTTTACTATAATTTGTATACAATGCATATTCGAAAAATTCCTTAATTGTAGATACATGATATTAATTAATAAGTTAGAAATTATACACCATAATTAAGTTTTACGTGATAAAATAAAGTCGATAATGTAATTTCTTACTTTAGTAAATTTTGATGTAAATGATTTAATAAAATTTTCGTCTAAACATAACTAACTTGTGTGATAGTATGTTATATTCGCCTTATTTATATCAGTTCTTTGATTTCTGTATGATCAATAATATTGGTATATTGGATCATACATTATTAATGTGAATATATAGGGGAGATCGGGGCAAGATCGGCATGTTAAGCTTTACTTAAATTTTGTGTAATAAATACTGCTGTAAACTGGAAAAAAAAACTTTGCATATTGTCTATTGGACTGTTACCTTACTATAGAACTGGTTACAATCAGTTTGGAAATAAAAATAATTAAAATAATTACAACTTTACAAGAAGAGAGAAATTGACGAAGTTGCCCCGGGTATAGGGGCAAGATCGGCAACTTCTCTCTTTTTGTAAAGTTGTAATTATTTTAATTATTTTTATTAAAGTTGCCCCTGGTATAGGGGCAACAGTAATGGGGCAAGATAGGCACGTATATAAAATTATGTTATTAACAATGTATAAGTTGGAATTCACTATTA